CCCAGAGAGCTAAACAAAACGGCGTCTACCTTCAGTCTTACTGGTGTTGATTTGACGTTCTCTCTGTGGAAGATGAAGATATATACTGTTTGTGTTGTGGAATCTTTGCCAACTAGTGTTTTCAATCGATAGTGGAGCCAACTAGTTGGATCCAAAGCACATCCATTTCTCCTTTTTTAAGCTGCTTCTTTCTAATATTTTGACCTGCTGATTTGAAGGCACAATCGCATTCTAGTGTCCTAGACTGGAAGGCCTCCTGTGGCTCCTGTGTCTTCTACATCTCATGCTAAACAGTGCTATGAATCTTCTTAATTTGAAGAAAGCCTTGAAATACATCAAATTTGTGGCCTCTTAGCTTCGAACTGCAACTTCTTGCTTTCTGAGCCAAAAGGGCATCTGATTGTTCACGGATTTGCTACTATTATTTTGACCGTACTACTGAAGCACTCTTATTCGTGACAGAAAAAGCTAGATTGAGAAAGTTGAAAGTGGGTTTAAGTGCGGCTCTTTTCTCTCATTGGCATGACGGTGTTAATGTCCTAGTGGCAGATATTGGAGTTGTTGTTTACCAACGTATGCTTTAATGGTTATTCATTGATAAACTATTATAACAAGACATTTTGCTTGCTTTTGAGGATTATTGGTGCTCATGAATCGAGAACAGAAGCGAGGGAAGCAAGAAAAAGATTCTGATGGTGCTGAGAAGGTCATTGTTGCCGTTAAGGCATCGAAGGAAATCCCTAAGACTGCTCTTGTCTGGTCTCTAACTCATGTTGTTCAACCTGGGGATTGCATTATTTTGTTAGTGGTTTTGCCTCCACAAAGCTCAGGTAATTTTGTCTCTCTCTTTCATTTAATTTATTTTACAAGTGAGTTTTATGCTTCTGTTACATAAGATATGTCAATTTTGTTAGTGTTGTTGACAAGTAATTGAACCTTTCCGGTGCTTTCCACACGTGCAATTAACATTTAGTCTGTGAATACGCAGGTAGAAGATTATGGATGTTTCCAAGATTTGCTGGTGACTGCGCCAGCGGTAACAAGAAGTCTCCTTCGGGAACAACTTCAGAGAAGAAGTGCGATATCAATGATTCTTGCTCCCAGATGATCCTTCGGCTTCATGATGTCTATGATTCAAATAAGGTTAGTAGTGGCGTTGATATATTAGAGCCTGTTGCATATTGAATGTTGGCGGCTTACCCCTCTTATACAAATTTTCCAAACAGATAAATGTCAAGATTCAAACTGTACCTGGATCTCCTTGTGGAGGAGTAGCTGCAGAGGCCAAGAAAGTCCAGGCCAGTTGGGTTGTCTTGGACAAGTAATCGTCCTTTTCCCCCTCCTTATAAATACATTTTTTAACAGATATTTTCTGTTCAGAAAGGCGTGCTATTGTGACTACAAAATGTAATCACGAGTTAATTTCTTCTTTCTGGTTTACTATGTGTTATGAGATTCTTATAATGTTTGTTGATGGTTCTTGGCTTGATGCTTATTTTGCAGAGATCTCAAACATGAGGAAAAACGCTGCATGGAAGAATTGCAATGCAACATTGTTGCTATGAAGCGATCTCAACCAAAAGTTCTCCGCTTGAATTTGGTTGGATCGCAAAAGAAGGATCCTGAAGCCAGTCCATTACCTTCTGAGAAAGAAATGCCCGGAAAACAAGCCAAACAGAAGAGCGAATCTTTAAACTCCATAAAAGCACCTGTTGTCACCCCAACAAGCAGCCCGGAGCAAGAGACACCATTTACTGCAACTGAAGCTGGCACCTCATCAGTTTCAAGCTCAGACCCTGGAACTTCACCATTTTTTGTCTCAGAGATAAATGGTGAATTAAAGAAAGAGGAGACAATTAAGGAAAATGAAGAACTTGATGATACTAATTCGGACACAGACAGTGAAAATATGTCCACATCCTCAGCGAGCTTGAGATTCCAGCCTTGGATCTCAGAAATGCTTCTGCATCAACGATCATCTCAATGTGCAGATGAAAGATCTGAGAGATCTCATAAGAAGCCTCAAACATCTACAACCAGAGCCTTGCTTGAAAAGCTCTCCAGGCTTGAGAGAGATTCTGGATTTGAAATTTCGACCTCTAGAAGTGACTTGGATTTCAGTGGAAATGTAAGAGATGCAATAGCATTATCTAGAAATGCTCCTCCTGGTCCACCTCCATTATGCTCAATATGTCAACATAAAGCACCGGTTTTTGGAAAACCTCCAAGGTGGTTTAGCTATGCTGAGTTAGAGCTTGCTACTGGGGGATTTTCACAAGCCAACTTCTTGGCCGAAGGAGGATTTGGATCTGTTCACAGAGGGGTTCTATCGGATGGGCAAGTCATTGCTGTCAAGCAACATAAATTGGCAAGTTCTCAGGGTGATCATGAGTTTTGCTCAGAGGTAGAAGTCTTAAGCTGTGCCCAGCATCGAAATGTTGTTATGCTGATTGGGTTTTGTATAGAGGATAAGAGAAGGCTACTGGTTTATGAGTATATATGCAATGGATCACTAGATTCTCATTTATATGGTAATTTCTTGTCTTATACCATATGCTGTCAAGGAACAATACATGTTTTTATTGGCTTGAAACTGTTGAGGTCATTGAGCATGCAGTATAAATGTAGTCCGTCAGTTAATGAGTTATTGTATGCTTATTATACTTATAATTGAAGATCTCATAATTAGCTAATTAATTGGGAAATGAAATCAGATATGCTAAATGTATGCTGAGATAGTAATTAACCATTATATCTAAACAACGGGATGGAGCGTGATCTTTTTTGTCATTATTACTGCAGACATGCAAAATCCTAGATAGTCAGATACTTTGTGATGAACGCCATGATGATTTATTATGTATGAATGTTACCATTCTTTATCCTTTGACAATTGAGCTAGTGCCTTGTAATTTTTCAGGGAGACAACGGGATGTATTAGAGTGGTCTGCACGGCAAAAAATTGCTGTTGGAGCTGCTCGAGGGCTGCGATATCTTCATGAAGAATGCAGAGTGGGTTGCATTATCCACCGGGACATGCGCCCAAATAATATTCTCATCACCCATGATTTTGAACCATTGGTATTGGATCTTTTGACTCCTTTATATAATGCAGAAATGGAAATAAAAGTCACCATTATTCCATAATTATGTTTTCTTTATTCATTATGTCAATGAGCTAAGTAATTATAGGTTATCTAACATTTTAAGAATTTTCTGTGGAATAAAATGTTTGGATTATCAGAGCATCCTACAGACTGTGTGCCATAATGTATAAGCCATATTCTGAGGTGCATCAGATATGTCTCTCTTCTAATAGTTCTTTATTTTTTGTTTTTTGAATTCTAGGTTGGTGATTTTGGACTGGCAAGGTGGCAGCCTGATGGAGACACTGAAGTGGAAACTAGAGTCATTGGAACGTTTGGGTAAGTGTTGTAAACTTGTAATACTCAGTTATTTTTCAATGCAACCGTGGACTTGAAACCAATCTTTGCTGCTTCTATATAGGTATTTGGCTCCAGAATATGCTCAAAGTGGCCAAATCACTGAAAAGGCTGATGTTTATTCCTTTGGAGTGGTATTAGTGGAGCTTGTTACTGGGCGGAAAGCTGTGGATCTGAATCGACCTAAAGGGCAGCAGTGTCTTACTGAATGGGTAAGCTAGAGCCTAGAGGATAACAGCGTCTAACTTAGTATGATAATTTTGTTAGATTCGGTCTGCAAAGAAAGAGTAGACTTAACTAATAATAACGATGTATAATCTTGCATGCTTTTAAGTTGGGCCTATTTCTGAAATTCTTATTTATGTTTTCGTCATTGATTTGGTGGTCTATTAATTTTATATATTGTCAATGAGAAGCATGACACTGAGTGACAAAGGAAAGACAAAAAGTATATTTTATTGTTGATGTCTAGCCTTGGGTTAATGGTGAGCATTTGGATATTGAACAGGCGCGACCCCTGTTAGAGGAATATGCCATTGAGGAACTGATTGATCCGAGGCTGGGAAATTGCTATTCGGAAAATGAGGTCTATTGCATGCTGCATGCTGCCTCATTATGCATACGGCGAGATCCTCATTCAAGACCTCGCATGTCACAGGTAAAGAGAAACTTTGAACATATCTTTTCAGAACTAGGAAGTGGATGTATGTTAATTAATCAAACAATTTCCATGATTCACTGGACTTAATTTAACTAGTTGACCGTTGTAGAAGTCAATGGGGTATAATCTCATATCCTCTTTCTCAGGTTGTCTTCTTAATCATTGTCTCAAGATGTCCTTATTTCCAAAAGGAGAAGATGTAGGCGAAGTTCATTTATTTGCCAATAACGGTCATGTTATTTATGGCTTTAAACGATTCCTTTGTGTCGTAATTCTGTCGGAAAATCTCATTTAAAACACCTAAAAACTGCATTCCAAATTTTCCCTTTCCAGGGTTGGTCCCCTGCACGTACCTTTTTTCCCTTCTCTCCCTTTGTGCCAAAAGTGACATGGATAGAGACAATTTTTAACGAGACCGAGTTGTGTGAACTGATTGGTGGCTACATATAAAGTTGACATGAGTAGAAATTCAGTTGGTGCACCTCTGAATGACTATATATAAGAAATATGCGGCATCATTGGAAACAATTATTAAGTTTAAATATTTAAAATCTTCAACCCTCGCATTTCACTTCAAATTCAGACATCTGGTTTGCTCTGCTAACTTGTTTTGCATGTGTATGCTTCCTTACTCAAGGTTCTGCGAATGCTCGAGGGTGACATGGTCATGGAGGCAAATTACCTAACAAGTGCTGGTTATGATGCCGGGAACCGGAGTGGTCGGATCTGGGCAGAGCAGCAGATGCAGCATCATTACAGTGGTCCCCTGCTGGATGAGCCCCTGGAATCTTCATTCAGTGGAAAGCTTTCTCTGGAGAAATACAGGTCTGCTTACCGGGAAAGGGACAAAGCCTAGGCGAACTTCCATGTGAAGATGGTGATATATGTAAAGTAGGCTGACATTGAAAAACTGCATGATCACATGCTAGAAGCCTGAAATATGTTTCTCGCTTCTATTATTTTGGTGGTTTTTGGCTTCCCGTTTCTCTGCAATGCCGTCATGTAATTTTTGCATCTGTGTTTATAATAGGGGAAGGGAAAGTAGGTTAGGAGATAATATATACAGATGCTTTTGAAATTCCTTAAGAAAGTCACGGCCTAATGGCCTTGTTTAAATGGCTTGCCCGATCCAGAAGGCTTCAATGCTTCTTTTATCTCAATCTTTCTCCCATTTAAAGGCTGCATGTGTATGCATGCTTGAATTCTGATTTTATGTGGTTACATCCATAAGCAATTGCCCCATGAACCCTCCTCATTCATGAGAAATGGATAGGGCTACATGCCTTTGCAATGTATTTAGATGTACTCTTACTTTAATATAAAATTTATTTAATTAATTTGATTAGATTAAATAAGTTAGATAAATTAGTTAATTATAAAAAATGATATTTTGTTTTCTAAAATAGGATAATTATCTTACTTAATATTCTATTTTTTTTCTACTTGATTATGAATAAGAAAGTATTAATAAGAGTAATTTAAAAAAATTAATAAATATAAAAATTAGATTTTATATTTATAATTAAAATTAATTTAATAATTAAGTAAACAAGACAAGTACTCCCTCCATTCCTTATTATAAGAGACATTTGATGCTTATGGTATGTTTCTATGTATAAGAGACATTTAAAAGTTGTCTTTATTTTTTTGTATTAATTTCCTATTTTACCTCTATTTATTTTGTTTCCAACTCATACTCTCTCTCCCTCCCACTTTTCTTTCTTTTAATAATTTAATTGTTCTCTCATACTCTCTCTCCTTATTAATAGGGGTATTGTTGAAAAAATATTATACTTTTTACACATTAATTGTCCTCAACTAATTTAACTATTTTTTTTATCAACGTAATTTAGTTATTTGTCTCTTATAATAAGAAACGGAGGGAGTATTATTTATGAGTGTCAAAATAAAGAGCTGTGAGGATCTAAAGCTCACGGACAGGGATGGTGATAGAAGCTGCAAGCATTGATTGTGATTTTGGGGGGGAAAAGAACTGTCAGAAGTTTTGAAATTTGAAAGATGAAAGACAGATAAAATCTTAGTTGGCTGATGATGACAAGAAGCCCGAGAAGTTCAGAATTAATTACTGCAACATTTATTAATAGGAAATGTCAAATGTCGCTTCTTCACATGTTATGGCATTTTTTGACTGAAGACAAAATCCTATTCTTCACCTTATCCCTAAAAATCCTGTCTGTTCTTCCCCTTGTCTCTATGTCCCAGAAATTAGTGGCGTCTGTTCTCTGTTTTCAAAATTTGATGACAACCTATTCCAGGTCTTCGTGCTGCATGAAGTTCTGTAAATAAACTATTTTCTAGTTCATATGACGAGACGCCTTTGATTATCATGTTAAAATTAAGAGGTAGCTAGTTTATTAATTTTTTCTTCTTCTGAAAATGAAACATTTTATGACTTGGCCTATACTCCTTTAATCTTATTTATAAGATAAAGAGATAATTTTTGAAAATCACATCATTAAATTTTGAGTATGAATATATTGTTTTACTATTTATTTATTATTATGTAGATTGTTATTTTTTAAAAAAAGATATACAAATGTAAAGTTGAAAAATTATTAAATTTTAAAGCAAGATGATGTTTGAGTTTTTCCTTAGTTCTAGTAAACTGCGTTATAAATAATCAACAAGTTGTTGATTGAGATGGTAAGCAGTCTCACTCTCATAAGAAAGAGAACACAAGTTCGAATATGGAGAATCAGACTTGTTAGGAGAGCTTTAATCTTAACGCTTCTGGCCTGATAAAGATTAATCTCAAATCCAAAGTAAATTAAAAATACTATGAGTTGTGCCAAAAAAAATATGTTAGAAATAACATGTAAATAAGACTAAATAAATATTTAAGAGTCCAAATAAATACTACCTCTACCCTTAAGTATAATATGTAGTTTCATACTATTATATTTAGGATTGGAGGTAATATTACATTATCTTTCAAATCTCCAAGCAAATTGCAATAGGTCAATATCTTGGGGGGGGGGGATTTTGTTAATAACCCACCACCAAATAACTTATGACATGGGCCATTTTCAAAGAGCTCTATATTTGGATTGGAAGGAGCCCATTATTTATGTTATGCTCCCTTGAACCTCAAGAGTCCTTTTTTTTTTTTTTGATGTGCCAAGTTTAAGAGTTCCAGTCGGCCATAAATATAAGTTTGACATGAATAAAGAAAAACAGTTAAAAGTAATTAATATATCATATATTTAATTATCTTCCCAAATTGGTCTTATTAAGATTAGTTGAAGTACTTTAATACTCACTTCAATAATGTTAGGCCCGAATTCACTGTATTTTCAGATTTATAACTTTTTTTTTTTTGTAAACTACTACCTCTGGTCTTTAATATAAGACCTTATTTGACTTTTCTTTTGGTCCTAAATATAAAACCCGATCCATTTTGTCTCTCATATTTATACATTTTTTTTCTAAGACAGTCCTTCTAACAATGGTAGTTTTAACTAAAGTATTTGATTAGCAAGGATATTTTAGGAAAAACAACATCTATTCATTACAAATAACTAACTTAACTTCTTTTCTTAATCTCCTCAAATTAGTCAATTAGCTCTTATAATTAGGATTGGAGGTAGTACTTCTATTAACTGTACATAATAAAAAGAGTTTTAATTAGTAAATCATTTCTAATGCAAATAATTAAACGAGGTCTTTTAGGAATACGTTTTGTTGGTTAAATTATACTGCCTCCGTCCCTTTTTATAAATAAATGGCTACTATCCCCTTCTTGTCCTTAAATATAAATAATACTTGTAAGTTGTTTTAAATTTGTGTAAAAAAAATTTCTTATTTTGCCTCATTTATTACTTATTTTAATACTCAATATATTTATTATCTCATTTCTCAAACCATCATTTCTTTCCATCACACATTCTCTCTTTCATAACTCTATTATAATAATTTTGTTATTCTCTTTCTTATACTCTCCTCCTATAAATAAGACTATTTTGGAGAAAGAACCTCTAATTTTCACACATTTATTATCTTTAACCAATTTTAACTAACTTTTTTTATCTATATGATAGAGTCCAAGGTTACTTATAAAAAAAGATAAAGAGAGTACTTAATGTTATATTAACAAATAAACTAACTTTTCGACGCAAAAAAATTGAGATATATATATATATATGTACGCGTGCACTCACGCACAGGACCCTAAACTATCATTATTATATACTCTCTCCGTCCCTTTTTATAGGTAGTCTTACACTCTATCATGTAGATCAAAAAGTTAGTTAAAATTAGTTAAAGATAATAAATGTGTGAAAATTGGAGGTTTTTTTCTCCAAAATATCTTTATTTATGGGGAAGAGAGTATAAGAAAATTATTATAATAAAGAGAATTATGAAAGAGAGAATGTGGGTAAAATAAGAAATTTGCTACATAAATTTAAGATAACTTGTAAATATTGTTTATATTTAAGGACAAAAGAGGGACGGTAGTTGTTGGGATTGGGGGGAGTAATTTTTTTCCAAACTTGTAATTCTCTCAAACAAGGGCACGCAAATGCTCGTTAGGGACGAAAACAAGCGCATGTTAAATAAAAAGAAATTGATCTTTTTTTATTGAAAAAAATTGATCTTTCCATACTTTATCTTAAAGGCAAATGCATGTATCTACTGTTTAAATCCAATTTGAATGGTTTTTAATTTATTTATTTTAATTAAAGATGACAATTTTATCTTAAACGAAGAAAGATGGACAAACATTTTCGACTCGTATGCCATGGTTAGCACAGTGACTTAAATGTTTTCAATACAAAAAGGCATTTAAATTTAAATAAATTTATCAATGAGCTATAATTATATTGGAATGATGTTGAGATGAATGTGTTATTATGCCCAAAAAAAAATTTTAAATGATCATATAAGAAGAAAAGCAGGCATAACGCCTATTAAAAAAAAAAGAAAGAAAGATAGAATATCATTTGATTATTGATAAAATATAATTGCGTCGCGTTATTTAGATCGTTGTAATGAGATATGAATCAGTTTCAGGTCCACAATAGACAGTGTGAGGAAGAAAAAGTTAGAAATTAACGTAAATAATTCAACTTTTATTCTTAATCCTTTCCCCCCTTCCAATTATTGAATTATTTGATTACTTAAAATAATCCAAAAAATAGTTTTACACCTTTGCCGTGGCTTTTTTTTTTTTGGGTTAAATTGAGTTCTCTTTGTAAACTTGCCTACGCCATGACTGACTAAGGAAAGTAACCATGCATATGTGTGTGTGTATTCTTCATATTCTCGATTTAGAATTTTAGTCACCAAGACAACGCCATGCTCCCCAAGGCACACATCCAATTTAAGAAAACTCAAAATAAAGAGAGAAAAAAGGGATTCATTACAGTTCACCAAATAAAAAAAGGGAATCATTATAAAATGTAGGGTTTCATATTATTTTCGTATACGTTAACCAGCATTTGTTTATTATTAATAAAGCACAACGTGTGAGAGTGGACAATAAATTGACCTTCAAAGAGACTTCAGCCGCCGCTAGCAACTCAGGTCCATATTTCTTTCAAATCTGTGTTTACCCAAAAGTGGAGTCACTAAACGTGGAGAAGTGATAACCAAGTTCATATTTTAGGAAAGCCATCATTTACTTCTTTAAGTTAATAGTCCATTTACAGAGTTATTAAGTGAACATTTGGCTATAAAACGTTTTTTTTGAACTGACATGTAGAAGAGAAAATCGGATCCAAGTTATCCATAAGAAGGTGCTTATTTGATTCAATAATACTGACTGAAATAATTAGAACTCCATGGCCTTGTGTGATCATCTTTAACTGAAACAAATTTCAAAATGTATTTACTAATTTAAATTAAGCCGTGAATTAAAGAGGGAGTTTTACATCAAATACTTGAAGCTAGCTTATATAGCAAGGGGAGTGTGGGATGGGGTAGAGATTTAAGATTCAAACTCCCTTGATATACATCACCTCTTATAACCTAGTGGTGTGAAAACTCTCCTCTAAATAGGAGGTTATGGATTTAGTCCCGTTTATAGCTTTAGACGTTAGTATCTGTTGCAAAGGTCGATGGAATTATACGAGGATTTGAATCTTCCCGAGAGTTAG